CGAGCTCTTTATGCTCACAAATGTTGTGACTATAGTCTAGTCTATAGTCTAGTCTATAGTCTAGTCTATAGTCTAGTCTATAGTCTAGTCTATAGTCTAGTCTATAGTCTAGTCTATAGTCTAGTCTATAGTCTATTCTATAGTCTAGTCTCTATAGTCTAGTCTATAGTCTAGTCTATAGTCTAGTCTATAGTCTAGTCTATAGTCTAGTCTATAGTCTAGTCTATAGTCTAGTCTATAGTCTAGTCTATAGTCTAGTCTATAGTCTAGTCTATAGTCTAGTCTATAGTCTAGTCTATAGTCTAGTCTATAGTCTAGTCTATAGTCTAGTCTATAGTCTAGTCTATAGTCTAGTCTATAGTCTAGTCTATAGTCTAGTCTATAGTCTAGTCTATAGTCTAGTCTATAGTCTAGTCTATAGTCTAGTCTATAGTCTAGTCTATAGTCTAGTCTATAGTCTAGTCTATAGTCTAGTCTATAGTCTAGTCTATAGTCTAGTCTATAGTCTAGTCTATAGTCTAGTCTATAGTCTAGTCTATAGTCTAGTCTATAGTCTAGTCTATAGTCTAGTCTATAGTCTATAGTCTAGTCTATAGTCTAGTCTATAGTCTAGTCTATAGTCTAGTCTATAGTCTAGTCTATAGTCTAGTCTATAGTCTAGTCTATAGTCTAGTCTATAGTCTAGTCTATAGTCTAGTCTATAGTCTAGTCTATAGTCTAGTCTATAGTCTAGTCTATAGTCTAGTCTATAGTCTAGTCTATAGTCTAGTCTATAGTCTAGTCTATAGTCTAGTCTATAGTCTAGTCTATAGTCTAGTCTATAGTCTAGTCTATAGTCTAGTCTATAGTCTAGTCTATAGTCTAGTCTATAGTCTAGTCTATAGTCTAGTCTATAGTCTAGTCTATAGTCTAGTCTATAGTCTAGTCTATAGTCTAGTCTATAGTCTAGTCTATAGTCTAGTCTATAGTCTAGTCTATAGTCTAGTCTATAGTCTAGTCTATAGTCTAGTCTATAGTCTAGTCTATAGTCTAGTCTATAGTCTAGTCTATAGTCTAGTCTATAGTCTAGTCTATAGTCTAGTCTATAGTCTAGGTCTATAGTCTAGTCTATAGTCTAGTCTATAGTCTAGTCTATAGTCTAGTCTATAGTCTAGTCTATAGTTAGTCTATAGTCTAGTCTATAGTCTAGTCTATAGTCTAGTCTATAGTCTAGTCTGTAGTCTAGTCTATAGTCTAGTCTATAGTCTAGTCTATAGTCTAGTCTATAGTCTAGTCTATAGTTAGTCTATAGTCTAGTTTATAGTCTAGTCTATAGTCTAGTCTATAGTCTAGTCTATAGTCTAGTATAGTCTAGTCTATAGTCTAGTCTATAGTCTAGTCTATAGTCTAGTCTATAGTCTAGTCTATAGTCTAGTCTATAGTCTCGTCTATAGTCTAGTCTATAGTCTAGTCTATAGTCTAGTCTATAGTCTAGTCTATAGTCTAGTTATGGATCGAACCCCTCGATTTCGCTTAATAGAGAATATTTATGGATAAGTTAAGCTCTCTATCTCCAGACGTACTGACCTGACTAGATTGTCTTAAAATTTAATAAGGTTCCCTAATGTACATACTTTTCTAGGTCTACGATTAAACGAAATGACAAAATCAGTATTCCTCCGTTGTTGTTGTAACAGATTGGCTGTGACTGGACGTTCTTCTCTAGGGGAAAAACTTTCGATGATAGACTAGACTATAGACTAGTATATAGTCTAGTCTATAGTCTAGTCTGTAGTCTAGTCTATAGTCTAGTCTATAGTCTATAGTCTAGTCTATAGTCTAGTCTATAGTCTAGTCTATAGTCTAGTCTATAGTCTAGTCTATAGTCTAGTCTATAGTCTAGTCTATAGTCTAGTCTATAGTCTAGTCTATAGTCTAGTCTATAGTCTAGTCTATAGTCTAGTCTATAGTCTAGTCTATAGTCTAGTCTATAGTCTAGTCTATAGTCTAGTCTATAGTCTAGTCTATAGTCTAGTCTATAGTCTAGTCTATAGTCTAGTCTATAGTCTAGTCTATAGTCTAGTCTATAGTCTAGTCTATAGTCTAGTCTATAGTCTAGTCTATAGTCTAGTCTATAGTCTAGTCTATAGTCTAGTCTATAGTCTAGTCTATAGTCTAGTCTATAGTCTAGTCTATAGTCTAGTCTATAGTCTAGTCTATAGTCTAGTCTATAGTCTAGTCTATAGTCTAGTCTATAGTCTAGTCTATAGTCTAGTCTATAGTCTAGTCTATAGTCTAGTCTATAGTCTAGTCTATAGTCTAGTCTAGTCTATAGTCTAGTCTATAGTCTAGTCTATAGTCTAGTCTATAGTCTAGTCTATAGTCTAGTCTATAGTCTAGTCTATAGTCTAGTCTATAGTCTAGTCTATAGTCTAGTCTATAGTCTAGTCTATAGTCTAGTCTATAGTCTAGTCTATAGTCTAGTCTATAGTCTAGTCTATAGTCTAGTCTATAGTCTAGTCTATAGTCTAGTCTATACTAGTCTATAGTCTAGTCTATAGTCTAGTCTATAGTCTAGTCTATAGTCTAGTCTATAGTCTAGTCTATAGTCTAGTCTATAGTCTAGTCTATAGTCTAGTCTATAGTCTAGTTATGGATCGAACCCCTCGATTTCGCTTAATAGAGAATATTTATGGAGAAGTTAAGCTCTCTATCTCCAGACGTACTGACCTGACTAGATTGTCTTAGAATTTAATAAGGTTCCCTAATGTACATACCTTTCTAGGTCTACGATTAAACGAAATGACAAAATCAATATTCCTCCGTTGTTGTTGTAACAGATTGGCTGTGACTGGACGTTCTTCTCTAGGGGAAAAACTTTCGATTATAGACTAGACTATAGACTAGACTATAGACTAGTCTATAGTCTAGTCTATAGTCTTTCTATAGTCTAGTCTATAGTCTAGTCTATAGTCTAGTCTATAGTCTAGTCTAGTCTATAGTCTAGTCTATAGTCTAGTCTATAGTCTAGTCTATAGTCTAGTCTATAGTCTAGTCTAGTCTATAGTCTAGTCTATAGTCTAGTCTATAGTCTAGTTCATGGATCGAACCCCTCGATTTCGCTTAATAGAGAATATTTATGGAGAAGTTAAGCTCTCTATCTCCAGACGTACTGACATGACTAGATTGATTAATATTTCCATGTGTAAGAAACGAAATGAAAAAATCAATATTCCTCCGTTGTTGTTGTAACAGATTGGCTGTGACTGGACGTCCTTCTCTAGGGGAAAAACTTTCGATTAATTCAGCTCTTGCTTGGTTGACAATCTTTGGGCGATTAGAAATCGGGTCGTTATGGATCCAAGATCCCATTGTCGTGGTAACGACTATTTCCTTCGGCTAGAAATCTGACCTTTATTAGTATAAAATTGACTAAAGAGTTGGGACATATAGAATGGAGGTTGAACTTAGCATGTTACCTTGGTGAAATCTCCTTTTTGGTGTTATTGAAATATCCCGGAGAAAAGAACTGCTACCAATACCTCTAGTCTGCCGGGACTATAAACTTTCTTTGAAATGATTTGACATGTGGTCAAACCAGAGGACTTTGTCCTGGCTGGTCAGTTGCTTGATGTTCCTTCAGGATCCACGTAGTGTCATAGGATATATCAGTTAAGGACTGATATATTCTATGACATATATATCTGGATTCTCTTTTCGGTGCTGTTGCCACCTCAATAGATATCACTGGGTGATGAGACAGATGAACTTATGCTGCATTCCTAAACCCGTTGAGTATATCTTACTCTTCGCGTAGTATTACGTCAGTATAGATTGGAGAATATTCAGGTTGACACTTGCTAGTTGTCTGTCATTCCGCAGATTGTTCTTTATGGTCTGAGAATAAAGCTGATGTATGTTGGTGAACGATCGGGAAAGACTCCTCTGCCTGACGGGATACTAGTAATGATCTAATAGATCTTTTACTTCAGGAAAGTTCTCGGTGCTGTTGCCATCTCAACTGGATGTATATTGTTTTATGCTACGCGACTTATGATTCAGGCCCACCACTCAACTTGTCAGGGCAATTATTGGGTTCGAATTGACTTTGGAAATTCCTACATACTTTGTCACATTAACTCAACATACAGAGGGATCCTAATTTATTGGACGGTTATTTCGGACTACCAAATATGTACGTGTCTAGGAGCTGTTGCCAAATCAACAGAGCCATCTCAGTAGTGTGGTTGCAGGGGCTTTAAGAGGTTAAGGAATGCGCTGAAATGGGTCAATAGTTTAAGGGGATTATATTTTAAATCATGCAAGCTTTCATGACATATAAAGGGTGGACACCTTCCGGCGTAAGATACCGGAAGATTGATTTCACCTGATATTGGAGTCGCCCCTACTATTGACTTTAGACCAGTGGTTGCTTTTTTCTTGTCGGGGTATGCATTGGGATTGGTCTTATGCTGCTTGTCATTCCGCAAAAGAACTGCTATGGCAAGAGATTAGATAACTCGAGTAGTTAAGAAAAGTGCAACAGCCATATATAGTTGTGTTCAAGCAACTATATTATCTTGCCACTGTGCCATTTAACTCAAAAGCTTTAGCACTTCAATAAAAGATTCTCAAAGAGAAACAAAATGCACCCTTTGTCAAAGCTTAACAGAAAAATAATTTTGGGGAGAGCAAGAAAATCAAAACACCGGTTTTGGCTACAGAAGGGTGGTGGCAGCTGACCCACTGTTGCTTCTAAGAAATTTATAAAGCGGATGTTGGGACATGCTCAAATAAATGATGTGCAATAGTAGTGGTAAAAGTATGAAAGAGTGTATGGTATACAGTTTATCCCCCCCAAAAAAAAAAATCAACAACAACATTAGCAGACTGCTAGACTGCCAAAGAATTCAATTCCAATAAGAACTGACAACGACGCGTGTCAAAAAACGGTTGTGAAACAATACGAACGAAATATTGAAAAAATTTTATACCAAAAACAAAAATAAAATTGAAACGACGACTACAATAACAACACACAAGTTGCAAATAAAAAACGAGAAAACGCGAAGCTCAGCGTTATGACCAATATATACCTGGGAAAAAGTGCTTGACTCGGCCATTCTCAAGCAGACAGACGGACACCCATTTTTAAATTGAAAAAACACCGTTAGTCGTTACCGCCAACTCTTTAAAGACGGTTGCGATAAAAAATATATATAACTGTAATAAAAACATAAAAATATTCTAATACTCGGAAATGATATACTAATAAAAATATTTATATATTTAAAAAAGATTTAAAGAAAAAACGCTGAGTTTTTAAAAATAAAATAAAAGTGTTTAACAAAATAATTTATAGCAAAAATATCTAAAATTATAATTTTTTAATAAAAAATATTAAATAATTTCAATAAATAAGAAACAAGTGCTTGATTACTTTTGAAAATTTTGATGTGAAAGTGTTTGAAATTGAGAAACGAAAAGTGAACAAAAATAACTTTTACTAAACGAGTTAAAATATCTTAAATCGCTGGCTACCATTACCCACCTTTATTATCCTTCAATGAAAATGGAGGATCCGAACCTCGCTGATCAGTATGTACAGGAATTTGTACTGGAACATTTGGAGGATGGTACCTCGGCCGTTGGTGTTAAACGTGAAGATCACAGTCCTGTAGCGGCGACGGCGGCAAAAATAACCTGGACCACCGAACCCTCGGCTGTGGCCGCAGAAGAAGATGAAACTGCTGTAGAGCCTTTGATAAAAATGAGAGCTTTCCCGCCCAACTGGTCGCATATGGACGAAAGAAGATTGCAGCCATTATCGCCGCCACCAGAAATCTACACTCATGGTCCCATGGCGGGCCAGGCGATATTAGTGAATACCTCTGTACCGGGCGGAGTGCCCTCTACACCACCTGAAACTCCCCCTGTTATAGGCTCACCCACGGGCAGTACCTGTGCCCAGGTATACTCTGGAGTTCCTAGTTCCCATTATGCCACACATCATCGGCCACCACCGCCCAGTGCTGGTTTGACTCAGGAAATGATGTGGCTGCCGAATTCTATGAGATCAGATCCTCAACCTTTAGACTTAAGACCTTTGGCGGGTCCCTCACAAGATGAGGAATGGGAAAGGCATCGTGAATACATGCAATCGGTGGCGGCGGCTAATCATCATAATCATCTTATACAAACACACCATCATCATCATTTCCAGACAATAGAACATTTGACACCCATTAATATGCACTCCTCGCCCTATCACAATGGCATCATAACCAATGGCCAGGTCAATAATACCAGCTCCATTATACACACCAATCCCAATCATGTCAGTAATCATGTCAACAATCGGCCACACTCGGTCAGTTCAACAAGATCTTCCACAAATTCCCCGCGCACCTGTTCTGGTCAATATTCCACCTCTAGTAATTTGGGTTTAGACGACTGCATTGACGATGATCTCTTGACTACACTAACGGTTAGAGAATTGAATAAACGTCTGCATGGTTGTCCACGTGAAGAGGTGGTTCGACTGAAACAAAAACGCCGAACTCTTAAAAATCGTGGTTATGCCCAGAATTGCCGTTCGAAAAGACTGTTACAGCGTCATGAATTGGAAAAAACAAATCGTCAATTGAATCAAGATCTGCATCGTTTAAAATTGGAATATACACGGGTTTGCCAAGAGCGTGATCAATTGAAACAGCGGCTACGTGGTAGTAGTGCTTCTACTTCTCAAAATGGTCCCGTAACGGGGACACCCTCAAGTGTTATTACCCTAAATGGTGGTGCTGCCGGAGCCGGAGGTGGTGGCGGTGGTGGTCCAGCTCATCAATTGAATACAGAAAATCAAAGTTCACCGGAATTTTATCTCTGACGTCAATTAGCAGCAGCTGCCAGTCATCATCACCATCATCATCATCAGCACCATTCTTCGCATTCGCACCATCATCCGGCACATAGTGCCGCTGCTCATCAATGGTCTTCTTCATCTTCTTCGGCATCTTCAGCAGCCTCGCGTTATCATCAACATTTAGCGCAACATGTTCATTCTCATGTGCCGCATCATCATTCTGCATTGCAGCAGCAGCAACAACAACAACAGCAGCTTCAGCCTTCCCAGCCTACGGTAGTGGCAGCGGCGGTAAACTGAGTTAAGTTGCATAAGTATACTGAGAGCTTTAAGATTAGAAAATTAGAGATTTAATTAAAGTTTATTTATTAATTTTAAGTTTTATTTTTAATTCTTCTTTTTTCATTTAATTTATTTTCTAAGTTGAACAAAGTTTTTTTTCTTATAATTATTAAATAATTTTATTTTAAATAAAATATTTTACAATTAAAAATTATTAATTGTTATTGAGCAACTAAAAGTTTTTTTTTTTTTTAATCTGGAAAATGTTATGATTTCTTCGCCGAATGAAAGGCATAACTTTTAAATATTTCATATCAAAGTCCCCAATTTGAAACTTTAAGAAAGTAGTCCATTAGTCCTAACAAATAAATTAGCTTTAGTATTAAGTCTTGATCCTCGCGGAGTCTATTTAGCTATGTCCGTCTGTCTGTTCGTATGTTTGTTGATATAAATTTTCTGAAGACTCTTTCAAATCCAAATCTTCAATAATTCTTTGGGACGTGATTAAGACAAGTTTCCCATTTAAAATCGGTCCAAAAATAACGGAAATTTTTGAAGGTCTACTGATATTCGTTCGGGGACTGCAATAGTTTTAAGTTTCATTAGATTATCAGGTGGTATTTGAGGAATTTATAAACCGATTTTATACAAAATCCATAGTCACGATTAATAGATTGATCACAAGATTTCGACATTGAATCTATTGTTAGTAAAATTTCTTTCGATATTTCGAAAAGATGTTCGAATCGAATACCTTATAATATTTCATATATGTAAATTCTTAGAATCAGATGATTATAGTTAGGTACTCACATTTTGGATGTAACATGTAAGTGCTGCACAGTTCTAAACCGCTAGTCCGATCGGGATAAAGTTTGACATGGGTGTTGTCAATTATTATACGTTAGTATAGTTTTGAAAATGAAATCCACAAATGTTCAGGAAGCGGCGTTGTGTGGGCTCAGTAAGTAAGGTACCTTTGTCAGGTACATTTGTTAAATGTGTGATATATTTTAGCTTTTTATCCGATTTCAAAGTTCTTTATATTTTCCGAAAGTGCTGGAACATGATTGTGTGTACTATTCATTTCGTTTCCGAGTTATAGGCATTTGAAAAAAATTAGCTATACGTTGGACCAATTTGTTTAAATATCAGTTAGTATTTTCATCCGATTGTAATCAAATTTAATCAGCAATAAAAATCCAATATCGTTTCTGGATTCAAAACGATTTTGAATTAAAAAAATTAAAGTTTTTTGCGAGAAAAGTTAATTACCCTTCAGGCATTCCTAACTGGTTTAATAATATCTTTTAAACATGTTTTATAAGTATCAAAATCTCTCTATTAAGTTTCAGGAACATCGGTCCATAGTTGTCCCTACTCTTCTATTACGTCTCTTGCACAAAATCAGCTTATTGGCAGCCAGTTTATTATGACAAATAGAGCTTCGGATAAAGTATTACGTAAGATATCTGTAATAATTAGTGAAATTTTCTTTGGTTAGTATCTTTCTTTATAGCATTCTAACAGATAAGCTCTCTGATATTTTAAACTATCGGACAACGTGATCTCTAATCTGATTATGATATGTAGAGTTAATACTGGCAGCCAGTTTATCGTGACAAATAGAGCCTTAGATAAAATATTACGTAAGATATCTGTAATAATTAGTGAAATTTTCTTTGGTTAGCATCTTTCTTTCTGATATTTTAAACTATCGGACAACGTGAGCTCTAATCTGAAATCTTAATTATTCGATATACTGAAATATTAATTATTATTAATACTGAAATCTTAATTATTCGATATAAAGGGCCACATGTTTCTTTTATGTCGGATTCGTACCTAGTCCGATTCGTACCTAGAACACTTCCAGTAGTACAGGTTCTGAGTGATTTAAATGCAATTTCCATTCTTTGCTACATAGCATTTGCCTCCTAAGAAAACATTATCCAGGTACGCTACAAGAGAAGTGGGTTCCATATTCGATTCCACAGAAATAGAGATAATATCTCAGAAATGAGAGCATGTTATTGATAATGATCTTGCGGTCTTTTAACGAAGTGGTATTTCGCTATCAATGCGGAGCACCTTCAAATCCACGAGTGAATGAAGTACAGTCGCAAAAAATCCTGGGGCTAAATTGCGGCATTCGATATCGATCGAAATCCGCACTTAAATAGTATTAAGATTTCGATGGATATCGCAAGCGGCCATTAGGTCGCTTATATGAATTTCAATTATCCTACATTCTTGTAAATTATTCAGTTTGGTCCATAATTAACCCAAGCCCCCTAAAATAAACTTTAAATTTACTACATTTGTTGTAACACTTTATTTACGGAAAGTTTTATATAAATGCTTTAGTTTAAAATCACCTTGATCTCATTGTAATTCTCAACCTATTCATTGCAATTCTTCTTTTTTTCTACTTCTAGTCATTAACTATTTATTTTTCAAGACTTTTTCTTTAATTGTTTTCAACTATCTCGTTCTCATGGTGTTAGTTACAGTTTATAGTTTTTATATATATTTCTCATTCTCGCCATTACCTTGAGAATGGTTGTTGACCTATTAATGCAATAAGTACGTATGTACGTTCCCTATTTGTCGAATAAAAATGGCGTTGACTTGTTGTTTATATGACCCATTCTTATCGTTAATATTGATTTCAGTCTGCCTATAATTAAGAAACTTTGTAAGCTTAATGATTAGAATTTTTTTTACGAAAATTTCTATTACACCCTTTCGCGAATTTCTAAGCAATAAAGTTTTGAAAACATTTATTAAAAATTTTGAATACTTTAAAACGCTAAAGAAGACTTTGTTAGGATTACAATTGACCACAATTGAGTCCACTATATATTCTGAAATTTCCTATACATTGTATGTTAAACCTAAAACTATTTTTTTTTAAATAAATGGAAATAGTGCAATATTTATTATAAAGATAGCGAGTGTACAATTAATAGATTTTTCAAATAGTCGTCTAATCACTTTGACATCTAATAACGTCTCTAAAAGTTTTGAATTCTATGAACGTCAAATCCACCTGTAACTAACTAATCTAAAATATATACGAGCGTTTTAACATCTAGACATTTTAGACATGTGTATTATAATTTTTATAAAAAAAAACTTATTAATAAAATGATAATACAACATTGTATGAATCATTTCATATGTTCTTAAATAATCGAGGACTTAAAAGAGTGATTAATAATGAATATGCCTAGAGTATAGAATATTAAGAAATGTTATAAATAATTCATTTTAGGGTTCCAAAGTACATTCTTAATTTTATTAATATAAACATCAGAGTGATTTTCAGAACAAGCCCTTTCCATTGAAAGAATGCCACATTAACTTGGTCCCTCTATAAATAGATTAATCCATCTATTTTCAGTCTTTTGAAGAAAGAACCTGAGTAAACTACTTTTGATAGAACTCAAAGGATTTGCTACTGAAAAGCCGTTGGAGACATCCAGAGCTGATCCTTTTCTGGCTACCTCAGCTCATTGCCAAAGTAGTTCCTATAATGCCTAGAATATTAAGATCATATAGTGTTTTCAGGTTGACATCGCCAGTATTTCAGCCTGAAAAACACTATAGCTGTTGGGAATACGGCAGCAGAAATTCATTCCAGCTTCTTCGCAGAAGAATCCAGAAGCAACACCGCCATCTATATAAATCCACATTCCTGGAAGGAACTTTGACTTTGAAAACATTATCAAGATTAAGAATTCTAGCATTGTCCATGCAATTTTGATTTCCAACGTCCAGATGACTGCTGACTGGAGTACAGAGCTTCTGAAGGATTAATTTCAAGAGAACCTCGTATTCCAATGCATGCTGATCTATGAACTTTGTGTAGTGGTTTAACAATAAGTTTCTTTTTAGTCGACGTCCGCAATACAGGAGATCCGTAAATAAGAATAGGATGTACTAAAGCTTTGTTCTTCCATGTAAATATGTTCGGACTAGGTCCCCACTTCATCCCGAACATCTTATGACAGATGTAGTAGACAACCTTTGGTTTTCTGTCTAGTCTATAGTCTAGTCTATAGTCTAGTCTATAGTCTAGTCTATAGTCTAGTCTATAGTCTAGTCTATAGTCTAGTCTATAGTCTAGTCTATAGTCTAGTCTATAGTCTAGTCTATAGTCTAGTCTATAGTCTAGTCTATAGTCTAGTCTATAGTCTAGTCTATAGTCTAGTCTATAGTCTAGTCTATAGTCTAGTCTATAGTCTAGTCTATAGTCTAGTCTATAGTCTAGTCTATAGTCTAGTCTATAGTCTAGTCTATAGTCTAGTCTATAGTCTAGTCTATAGTCTAGTCTATAGTCTAGTCTATAGTCTAGTTTATAGTCTAGTCTATTAGTCTAGTCTAGTCTAGTCTATAGTCTAGTCTATAGTCTAGTCTATAGTCTAGTCTATAGTCTAGTCTATAGTCTAGTCTATAGTCTAGTCTATAGTCTAGTCTATAGTCTAGTCTATAGTCTAGTCTATAGTCTAGTCTATAGTCTAGTCTATTGTCTAGTCTATAGTCTAGTCTATAGTCTAGTATATAGTCTAGTCTATAGTCTAGTCTATAGTCTAGTCTATAGTCTAGTCTATAGTCTAGTCTATAGTCTAGTCTATAGTCTAGTCTATAGTCTAGTCTATAGTCTAGTCTATAGTCTAGTCTATAGTCTAGTCTATAGTCTAGTCTATAGTCTAGTCTATAGTCTCTAGTCTAAGTCTAGTCTATAGTCTAGTCTATAGTCTAGTCTATAGTCTAGTCTATAGTCTAGTCTATAGTCTAGTCTATAGTCTAGTCTATAGTCTAGTCTATAGTCTAGTCTATAGTCTAGTCTATAGTCTAGTCTATAGTCTAGTCTATAGTCTAGTTAGTCTAGTCTAGGTCTAGTCTAATAGTCAGTCTATAGTCTAGTCTATAGTCTAGTCTAGCTATAGTCTAGTCTATAGTCTAGTCTATAGTCTTAGTCTAGTTAGTCCTATAGTCTTGTCTATAGTCTAGTCTTTAGTCTAATCTAAGTAAAAGTGGTTTCATAGCGAAAAATTTACGTTTTACTATTTCTCAACAAACAAAATACTGAATTAATTCCACATTCGATCGGTATGGTATATTGGTGGACCCATTGAACTGAAGTAAAACAGTAACTCATAAAACTTTTAGTTGTTCATAACCAAACAAAATTTTCGAAAAATGTATTTATTTT